TAATTTATTTAGTCCTGTTTTCTCCCCCACTTTATTGCATATAAAATTTCCTCATACTTGTTTTTAAAAGCTACAAGACCAGTTGTTATGTAACCTTTTGGAGGTCACAGATCTCTTTGATAATTTGCCACGATAAGTGCTTAAGTGTTAGCAGTAAGGCTTTTATTTCAGATTCCCATCATTATTGCTCCACAAATTGCCTGGCACTTCTAGTAGTAGGTATTCAACACAATGCTTGTTTAAAGGAGGACTTAGTAATAGCTGGCTGCTTCCTCCTTGATGGTTTATTGTTGGGCATTCAAATTGTTTCTAGTTTTTGACAGTTGTGATGCAGTGCTGCTGTCAACTCCTTCCTATAGTTTTTTTCTCCTTCCCAGAAGGCCTGTTTTTGGCTTGGTTTGAGCTTGGAAAACATGTGTACTTTATTGTCTCTGTGCCTTTGCTTATGCACAAGGAAAGCCTCCTTCTTGTTTGTCCAGATTCTGTCCTGCAAGACTCTGCTCAAATGCTGATTCCTCCCAGGAGCCTTTCCTCTACCTGTACTTGGAAGTGAACACTTCTTCATCTCTACCTGTGACTTTTTTAAATTAATTCAGGCTGTTGTAACAAATTACCACAGAGTGGGTGGCTTGTAGACAATAGAAAATTATTTCTCACAATTCTGGAGGCTGGAAGTCTGAGATCAAGGTTCCAGCATGTTGGGGTTCTGGTAAAAACCCTTTTCCAGTTTTCCTCATATGGTAGAGAGAGAGCCAGTGGGTTCTCTGAGGTCTCTTTTAGAAGGAGCCCATTTACAAGGACTCCACTCTCACGACTGAATCACCTCCCAAAGTCCCTACCTCTTCAGATGCCATCCTGTTGGGGGTTAGGATCTCAACATACGAATTTTGTGGGGGACACAAAGACTCACCCCTTTGTACTCCTCTGCAGTAGTACTCATCACATTTTATGATCCAGTTGAAAAAAACTTATATATACACCTTATCTCCTTTATTAGACTGTGTTATACCTTATATATTTGAAACCCAGAATGGATCATTTTAATACCATTTGTTCTATAAGAGCTATTTTCAGTTATATGCATGCAAAAATCAGTAATAATTACTATTTTCTTGATTTGTTATTTAGTTTTAAAAGAACAATTTAAAAGAGAATACATTTCCACTTTAAAGATACACAAATGCATTAAAGATATTTCCTGGAAGAACCCAAATTTTTACTTACCAAACAAAATGTTTCACCTCACAGTTCACTGTAAAACCTGTTTTACTGCTTTACGTTTTAAACCCAAAAGTCTAAGTGGTCACAGAGGATAACAGAATTGAAGTCAGATTCTATTTCTTTGTTTTTTTAATCAGTATGATATCATTTTTAATTTTAAATTTACTTTCTATTTAAAGGCAAAAACAAGCAATAAATACTATGGAATTTGGGACATGAGATGACAAAGTAAGTTGGGAGGATACTGAACAATTAGACAGTTGCAATGAGCATACCTCATGGTCAGTGAACATCAGGGACCAACTATGTAACTGGGAGGTCTCTAAATTGACACTAACAGAGAATATATATTCAAGGAGAAGTAATATAAAACTGTGATCATTTGAAGTTTTTGTATACATTAATAAAACCCAATTAGTAACCATAGCAGTTGTTTACAACTCTGACCAAAAGAACTATTTTGGAGGGGGTGTTAATTTTTATCACTGGCATTATTTAGAATTGTGATGATGAGAAGAAGTTTTTATTACTGTCACATTCTCTATGGATGATGGCCCCCTTATCGCCCTCTGGCAGTGCAGGCAGCTCCTGTCTTCCTGCCCCTGGTCCGCCTGATTGGTCAGTAAGCTTGTGGGGAGCAGGGGCGGCCGTGCAGTCCGCGTTGTACAGTGTCTGCTGCACAAAGAAAGCAGTTCTGAGTGAGGGCCTTGGCGGGACCGCTAAGGTTGAACTCCCTTTCTCTAAACCTGAGGCCGGTTTTCTTTATGTAGTCCAGACAAGTAACATTTCACAACAGATTCAATACAGAAACGGATGAAAACAAGCCCAGCCCTTTCTATTAAGCCAAACGTGAAAAAAATAGCAAAATTCCTTTGTGACCCAGTGTCACTTTTCTGACTCATTTTTCATTGTTCTTTGGCAAATACCAGTTATTCCTCACAATATCGTTTCATATGTAACATGTGATGAGTTTGTTGTTATTATTCAAAACATTACAAAGTGTTCTCCATTTTAGTCTCTAATACAGTAAATACTGATAGCTGTGTTCCATATAAAAAAGATCTCTTTGGAATTGTGACTAATTTTTGAGAGTGTAATGGGGCCTTTTGGGAAGTTGAGAATTGCTGCACTTAAAGCACTGCCTTCAATATGACAGATGCCTATGTACACTTGTTAAATGAGTGAGCGACTGATGGATGGGCTTCAATTGCTTCTGGGATGTGGAGGCTGCTGCGGGAATTGCAGGGAGGGGCCAGGCTCCTGAGGCAATGCTGGTGGATATCACTGGGCAGTAGGGGCTGCCAGGGTCTAGGAGAACTGGCTACCATTTAAGCAGTGTTGGCCTCAGGAGTGGGGTCTGGGGATGAGCCTAATGGAGGCTCTGTGTCCTAGGGTCTTTGGGATGCTCATCATATCTTCTTTCCCTTGGTGTTGGTGGACAGGAATTACCCAATATTCCTTTCCTGTGAGAGGAACCGAGCAGAATGGATTTCTAGGGATCTATGGCGGTTCAACCATGAGGTGAGAGCACAATGGCCAGAAGCCTATAGCGTTGAGCAGACAGATCCAGTCTAGGGACCTCTTGCTCCTTTTGTGGAATCTCCAGCAAGTCATTTTTCTGCTGTCTGACTCTACCACAAAGTGAGGGTGGGGTAAAATGTTTGTGCAATGTCTGGCATATCCTGGGTACACAATACATTAGTGGGTCCATTAGCAATGTCATCAATAACAATAAAAAGAAGTAAGCTGGGAGGTCTCAGGTTAAGGAGGAAGGATCCCATGGGAGTTCTTCCTGGTATATCGACACTTGGTCCTGAATAATTCATTGCCATGGGGGCTCTCCTGTCCACTGTAGCATGTTTAGCAACATCCCTGGCTTCTAAGCTCTACTTGGCAATAGCACTGTCTCCCTGGTTCTGACAGCCAAAAACATCCCCTGGGGGGCCAGTTTGGGAAACTATCCTACAAGGCATAGATACTCAACCTTCTCGGGCTCCGTTGTGGGATGCCTGCTTGCTTACAGTGCCCCAGGAAAAGGAAGACGTCACACCAGCCTAGCGCACACAGATCTGACTCACTCCCTGCAGAAAAAATTCTGCCAAGATGTTCTGCTCTCAAGGAAACAAAAGGCTTCCTGTCTCTGATCCTTTTCTCTGAAGAACCTTCCTGCTAATGGAAACTTCCCTCAGCGTTTGGACAAGCCGGGACCCTGGGGAAGCAGTAGCTGACCAGCACAGGCTTTGCTGAGGGAAGTGTGGCTAATACCAAGCAACCCCGGGGGAGGCTGTCCTGCCTTTCATCCTTCACCTTGACTCCAATGGCATCCAACCCCCAAGTCTCTACTGAAACATCTGGTCCAATCAGAAGCAGAACAAATAAACCAAGGGTGGTATATTCATACAGCAGGATGCTACAGTGACCTGAGTGAATGTGTCATACTACATGCAACTGCATGGATGACTTACCAACATAATGTTGAGTGAAAGAAGCCCGGAACAAAAAGAGCACATATTATATATGACCATTACTGAAAAGCTCCAAAAAATCAAAATAATCTATGTTAAGGCTCCAGGGATGTGTGTGCAAGGGAGGCTCCTGGGATTCTGGCTTAGGTTGTGAAAATTCATTGAGCACTTTATGATACAGGCATTTTTTGAGATATATGTTATACTTCAGTAAGAAATTAAAAACATTCTGGGCCAAAGGGTAGGAAAAGCCCTTCACCAATATCCTTGTGAACACAGGGAAGAAAAATTATGAACAATTCTGCCTGCATGGCTCTAAGTTATTATTAATATTTTTGGACTCAGTTTTGTAAGTGAGATGATGTATGCAAAATATAACTAACCTGGTAGTTGACATACAAAATGCTCAATGAATGGTAATAATTAATACTGCTAATAAGTTATTAACTGACCTAATATACAAAATAATAATTAAATACAAAGAATAGCCTTTTTTTCCTAAAGGAGAAAAAAAATGTTCTGGAGTTTTCAGGTATGTCTTTGGATAGTAAGCTTCTAATTCTTTTTGGAGCTCCCTCCAAGCATAGTCTTAGAGGAAAGAAAAACCAGTAACCAACACAATAACAAAGTCTCAAAGCTTGGTCTCATTTGGCCAAAGTGTTCAGTTCACTTCAGATCCATCATTTACTGATCCAATGCACTCTTTAGCCAGGAACCTGTGATCCACCTGCCTAATCAAGCATTTGGATCACTTTGACCATCAGCCTATGAATTTCCAGAACAAACAGGTGTGACTGCTTAGTCTCAGAGTAAAACTTTGACAGAAAAAGTGAGGTTTAGAAAATGTGCAATGATAGCTCCGTGTTCAACCTGATTGGAAAGAAGATTGTACAAATTCCTCTCTTCTGAGAGAGCCAGCAATTAGACAACCTCAGCAAGATGGAGGGTTTCATTACAAGCTGTTCTCTTCAACTGCAAATTAGACGCCAAATTAACTCTCAGGAAGATCTGAGACTCTTTCAGATTATTTGCCACCAAAGAAGTCTTAGCCTGACTATTTCTGAATCAGATATGAGAGAGACTTCGTTGCTTTGAGAAGACTTCTACTCCTAGAGCAATTTCCTAAAATTTCAGAATTTAGGAAATGCCTACAAACAGCTACACGTCCCTATGACCTGTGATGCCGATCATAGAATCACCTAATGCGCTGTGAAGCAAACTCTGTCTGACATAGTCAAAACGCTTGGATTCACTGCTTTGTACTTTGAAAGAAGAAAGTCCATGCCCATCTCCGGAGAAAGGGCAGGCTCTTACCTGTTCCCAGGCTTTGTCCATGGGCACTTGATTGGATCAAGATGCACAAAAACAAGCAGATAGAGACACACAGGGGATTTTCCATTTCTCCTTTTTCACCTGGGGTCCGAGGTCCTCTTGCTAATTTCTGAAGCTAAAGAGACCAGATTGTCTATTGATACTTTGTTAGGGAAGACTGTCCATTAATAATTAACCTTTTAAACATGTTTTCTAGTGTTCAGACTCTTTCCTTCCTACACCCAACCCCCAAATCTAAATCTACCTCATATAAAAAAAGAGAAAAAGTTTGATTTACAGAAGTATTTTTTTATCCTGATACATTTTGAAAATAAAATATCTTGTCATGTATTCTTGCCTTCCAGGGCCAAGGTCACAGTTCTAAATGCATCAGTTTGAAATTAATATGTTTGGAAATTCTGTCAAAGGTCAGGGGTAGGTGGCTTCCACAGAATTGCCAAAGTCTCTCTCTGTCAGCACTGCAAAGGGGATACAGGCAGTGGTATTTCAAATGCAGACTAAACTCAAAGAGAAAGGAAAGGGCTCTGCTATAAGGAGAGCCCCCATGGGGTCTGTTTTCTGTTGAGTTTAGCAAAACTACTGGTTCTGTGATCAAAGAGTGATGGGCAAAATTTCTATAACTGAAAGGGGCAGAAAACCTCTAATGTCAGTGTAGAAAGGAGTTGGTAAAGGAGCCAAGATGATGAACTGGATGCTTTTGCTGGGGGCCCCTTTGAAAAATGAGTAAGCACACTCTTTCCTCCTTTGTATTAATGGATGCTCTAACTGTGTAGAGGACTGAGAAGTAAGGCCACTTGGTGAGACCAGACAGGGGAAATGCTACCATGCATTTCTCCTGTTAATATTCCTTGGTAAACTTTATTCATTTTTTTCAACTTTTAAAAAAATACCTATTACATACCAGGCACTATTCTAGTACTTGGGATAAACAAGTGAACAAAACAGACCAAGATTCCAGTCCTTGTGGTGTTTATGTACTATTGGAGATGGGAAGAATAAGATAAGAGACAATAGGTATAATACATAAGAGATTTATGTAGATTGGTAGAATGCGATCTAAGTGACAGGAAAAGGAAAAGTATGGCTGAGTTAAGGGGTTTGGGGAAGGTAGTGATTTTAAATAGAATGGTTAGGATGAGCCTTTTTGGGAAGTTGAATTCTGAGCAAGAGTTTGAGGGAGTTGCCCCTGTGGACATGTTGAGGAGGAGGGCATCAGGTGGTTAGAATAACCAGCGCAGCCGGTGCAAAGGCCCTGAAGTAGGAGCATGCCTGGAATGTTCCAGGATCAGCATGGAGGCCGGTGACTAGGGAAACATCATTAAAAGGACTTTGGCTTTTATACTGTGAGACGTGGGGACCCACTCTGAGCAGAAGAGTGATATAATTTGTATAGTATTTGTAAAAGATCATTCTAGTTTACAAGAATAGAACAGATTACTAGCAAACCAGGATGCAAGTGGTGAGATCTGCCAGGAGACTATTACAGTGATCCAGCGAGAGGTGATGGTGCCTTAGTTCAGCATGGTCATAGTGGAACTGGGGAGTGATGGATGGGTGGTGGATGTATTTTGAAGGTAAATGCAAGAGGATTTCCTAACTACTGGGGTGAAGAGAAAGAAGATTTGAAGATGACTTCAAGGATTTTGGTTTGAGCAAGTGGGACAATGGTGTTGATATTAGCTGAGACAGGAAAGGCTGTGAGTGGAGCAGAGTTGGTGGTAGAAGATCAAAAATTCAGTTTTGGCTAGGTGGAGTCCAAGATGCTTTAGACATCCAAGTTAAAATATTAGGCAGGCATTTAGCTAACTTGATGACCACTGCCTGGATGAAACGAACTGGGCAGGACCTTCATTTGGTCCTATTAGTTCGGACAGACTGACTCCAGGGCAAAGCTTAAGACTGTGCTGTCTGGTGGCTGAACTTCCTTCTGGAGGTCTATGGCATGGAGACCGTCTAGTTGGATGCATGATTCCTGAGCAGAGGCTTCTGTGCTGGCTTCTTGGCTGGCTTCATCCTTCCTGCACTGTTAAGCAAGATCTGAAGGTTCCACTTTACTGATATCCCAGAAAGCTGGAACCTAAAACAGCTGACTATCTACTTGGCTCCTCTCCCCAGGGCCTACTTTATCTCTTGTCTTCTGGGTACTGCCAGGAACCAACTCCCCTCCTGACCTCACTCTGCAGATTAACTTACCAAGACACTGGTGAATCCATCTGCCTCTAAGATCCTGGGTCTTCTACCAACTAGCTGTGCACAATGTTACTTAACTTTCATGAGTTCCATCTCTTCATCTGTAAAATAAGAGAACATGAGCCTGAGATAATATTTTGAGATATCAATAATGTATTTCTCCCAAACTCTCCCTCATACCCTCCCTCTCATCTAAGAAGAGTAAAGTAGACAGAAGCCTATAAATCTTTTGTCTTCCTAAAGCTTCAGTTCAGTTCAGTCGCTCAGTAGTGTCCAACTCTTGGCAACCCCATAAACCGCAGCACACCAGGCCTCCCTGTCCATCACCAATTCCTGGAGTTTACTCAAACTCATGTCCATTGAGTCGGTAATGCCATCCAACCATCTCATCCTGTGTCGTCCCCTTCTCCTCCCACCCTCAATGTTTCCCAGCATCAGGGTCTTCTCCAATGAATCAGCTNTTTCCTATTTGGAACCAGTGTGTTGTTCCACGTCCAGTCCTAAAACTTAGGACCTAGCATAAGTGAATTCTAAGCAACAAAGGCAAGCAAAAGGCTAAGAATGTTTTAAAGGGATGTGAAGGGAGAAAAAATATTCCTACCTTCCTATCACTAGAGAGTGTCTTGGACTTTGTAAGTAGATTGGGAAAAGGGAGATTTGTCTAGAGGGCAGAGGGGACAGTACGTTGCTTCCAGAAGGTGGTAAGAACTCAAAGAGGAAATGGCTGTGAGTTTGTCAGTGGCAGGGCAAAATACACCCCTGTTCTTGGTATAGGTTGGGAGTAGCAGTGAGCTACCAGTAACAATAGGTCATGAAGATGGGGAGGACAGGGGGGTCATCTATGTGGACTGATGGGATAGGGCCAGGTGCTCACCCCAACTCCAGGCCTTGGTATTGTGTCTGATCTAGAACTGGTGGTAGGTGGGACTGGGGCGAGAAAGAATCCAGGAGAGCCTGAAAAATAGAAGTTTGAAATTATAATTCGGGTGGGTTACAGAAAGCAAAGCTATTTCTTCTACATCAGAATCTGTGGACTGAGATTCACACCTCTGCAAGCACAGGTATGTCATGAGTATTAGGGATTTATATGTGAAGTGCCTAGCCAAGTGTTGAGTTTATAGTAGCGTATATGTGCTCAGTCACTCAGCTGTGTCTGACTATTGTGTCCCCAGGGACTGTAACCTGCTAGGCTCCTCTCTCCATGGGATTTCCCAGGCAAGATACTGGAGTGGGTTGCCATTTCCTTTTCCAGGGAACCTTCTTGATCCAGGGATTGAGCCTCTGTCTCCTGCATTGGTGGGCAGAGTTTTACTACTGAGCCACCTGGGAAGCCTCCGTTCATAGTAGAGGTTCAATAAATTACAGTGGCTTGGTTTGGAAGCAATCAAGGCATTGGAATTAGCCAGATCTAGGTTAAGGTCCCTGGCCTATTGCTTACTAACTGGGTGACCTAGGGCAAGACATTAGCATTCTGAGATTTTGATTTTTCCTTCTGTATAGTGGGACTAAGCATATTTACTTGATCAGATTAAAGGAGAGGTAAACCCTAGGCAGTCTTGCCAAGCAGGAAATAATACATAGCAGCTATTGTTATTTTTATTGTTTTAATTTATGTAGGGAGTCATGAAGGTGTCCAGGAGGTAGGTACCAGTAAGATCACAGGATTAAAATTTTAGCAGAAAATTAAAAGGGGAGGAAAACAGAAAGGTCTGGATCAGTGGTTCCAAACTATGATTGAGGGTTAGAATCAGAGTCAGCCTGAGAGCTCAGGAAAAGGAAAAACTTCAGGCCCCTCCCATGAAAAAGTAAATAAGAACTTCCAGGACTGGGGCCTGGACCATCTTAAACAAGTTCTTCAGATTGTTCTTGCTCACCCAAAGTTTGAGGAACCATTGCCTCAGAGTGTGCTTGAAAGATCTGTTGGGGAGGAAGAAGAAAATCTAGATCTTCCTAATTTTTCTCATATCACTTGCTATAGGCTGAATGCTTGTGTCCCCTACAAATTAGTACATGAAACCTAGCCCCAGCGTGATGGTACATGTATAGGGCCTTTGGTAGGTGACTAGGTCTTGATGGCAGAGCCCTCATGAATGGAATCAGTGCTCACATGAAAGGAATGCCAGACAGATCCCATGAGCCTTCCTCCACGTGAGGTTACAGTGTGAGAATATGGCCATCTATGAGGCCCTCATCAGACATCACATCTGCTAGTGCCTTGATCTTGGACTTCCCAGCCTCCAAAGCTGTGAGAAATACATTTCTGTTTTTTATAAGCCACCCAGTCTCTGGTATTCTATTATAGCAGTCAAACAGACCAACATATTACCTTTGAACATTTTGTTTGTGTAAATATAATGTTTATTATATATTTACACTATATCATTTGTATATAGCACTATGTAATATATTGTTATTGTTTAGTTGCTAAGTTGTGTCCAACTTTTTGTGACCCCATGGACTGTAGCCCCCCAGACTTCTCTGTCCATGGGATTTCCCAGACAAGAATACTGGAGTGGGTTGCCATCTCCTTCTCCAGGGGTATCTTCTTGACCCAGGGATCAAACCTGGGTTTCCTGCATTGGCAGGTAGATTCTTTATCACTGAGCCACAGGGAAGCTCATGTAATTTATTAGTGCTATATAATTTATAAGCAGATAAATATTCATATACTTTGGGGAGCACCCCAGAAAGCCCAGCAGTCCATGGGGGACCCTTCACTTCCCATGAACTGAAAAGGGGAGCAGGCTAGATCCCATGGAGCCTGAAGCCTCCAGAGAATTATCAGCATTTTGCATAGTGGTAGAGCCCAGTGCTTACTTTGTTTTGCAAGCCTCAGTCTAAAATAATAATGATCTTATTCTTAGATCCCTAAAAATTTCTAAGTATTTTCTTTCTTTTAATTTGAAGAGCTTCTTGAAGAAATGGAGATTTCAAGAGGATGGGTATTA